GGCTTGGCCACATGAGTCCCAATGTTCATCTGTAAAATGTGGGAAAGTATGCATTCCATCCATTCAAAATACTGAAGAGTGATACGAAGGAGTAAAAAGTGTGGTTACATTACATTTTGAGTTGCTTGCCTTTTGTCACTCTATACAGGGTGGGGAAAGTGTAGCATAAGAGCCTTGTGGAGCTCCTAAAGGTATCCTTCCCATTCCACAGTCTTTCTCCAATTTTATTATTGTTCCCCTATGTACCCTTCCAGGCATGAGGAGCAATTCTATTATGTTCTGGGCCAAGGACAGGGCGGTTTTCCAAAAGGAGGTGACCCTTCTGGGTCTAAATGGCTTTCTGCCTCAAAACGACCTTTCAGAATTTTATGTGGCATTTGCATTTTCCCTATACCTACTAAAGAGTGGAAAAGGTGACCCTACTGTGCTCAAAACAAAAACTTCACCAAAAAGAGATCAAAATTATTACCACACTCCCACATTGCTGGAGGGGGGAGGGCAGCAACATTTTGAGAGCATTTTCCAGGGGTGTACAAATGGTCGTCCAAGGTCCTCTCTGAATTAACGTGGATCCTAACCATTGAAAGTTCTCCATCACTCTCCTTTCCAGTATTTTGAACGATATAAGGTTGCAAGTATGGGACTTGTTCAAGGTTATTTGGGGTGCTCCCATGGCTGGATGGGGAGTTGAACCCTGATCTATAAAGTTATAGTCCAATGCTCAAACCACTACACTATGAAAGAAGATATAAGACTCTCTTAAAAAGAGGCAACATTTCCAACAATCCTTCAATAAGGATGAAAACAATTGATTAGGCAGCCTTATCAGGAACAAGTGATGCATTAAATTACAAGTTCACAAAGTCATTGTGAAAAGTGAACAGCTTTTAAATAGTAATTTTCCAAGCTTTGTACACTAACTACTACCTGTTTAAAACCGAGATAACCTTGCCAAATACCTATGCTTGTGCAGACTGTAACTCTGGTCAACCTTGCCAATCAGTCATGTCAGAGGAGCAGACAAGAGCAAGTGTTAATAAAAATTACTATTGTTCTTGTCTGTTGAATGATACAGCAGTCCAACACAGAAATTGCCCCACTGTAGATAACTGGGGCAATTTCTGGATAACTTCTCAAAATGTTATGTAACAAATAGGTGAGGGGCCAATTGGTGATGGCACCCCATGTGTAGAAAGGTTTTTCGAAGACAGTGATTCTCAACCTATGGGTCCCAGATGTTTTGGCCTACAACTCCCAGAAATCCCAGCCAGTTTACCAGCAGTTAGAATTTCTGGGAGTTGAAGGCCAAAACATCTGGGGACCCACAAGTTGAGAACCACTCTTCTAAGGCATCAGTTTGAGCCAGTGTGATGTATCGATTTGAGTACTGGACTGCAACTGATGAGACCACGGTTTGGACCTGTGAAGTCTTGGCTCTGCCTTTTCCTGTCCTTTGCTTTGCTTTCCCCTGTTTATAGGCCTTCCCAATAGTGTAGAGACCTTCCTTTGTATTAGTTTTTGGGAGGAGCTTAAATCTCCCCACAGGCCAGTCTTAGTTGTTCTATTCCATTTCCCTGTATAGGGCTCTCTTGCTGGACTCCTCCCTTTTCTACAGTCACTAGAGGCATGGATATTGTCTGGAATCGTAGGCCCAAGCAATCCAAACAGGCATTCTTAGCACCTGCTGCATTTAGCAGTATTTTTATACCAACAGTCCAAAGGATAACAGAAGCTTTTGGCCAGCTTAAGCTTCACAGGAAATAAGATTAAGACAATTTATTAGCAACAACTTGTAATCCATCACTTTGCAGCAGAGGCAGAAGATTCCTAAAAGGTGATTGCAACCAGCAAATTCTCCTTTTGTATTGTATTGTTTTAAGTTACCTTATATAGTCCCGGGGGGAATTAACCCTTTATTCATCTTGTTTTAGTAAACTCATTTGATTATCTTTTCACCTTACCTAAAGTACCTCTGTCTGCTAAGGGTCTTAATCTTAACAGAAGGTATACAGATAGCCCCCGAGTAGAGCCAGACAATATTATTTCCCCAAAGGCTTGGGCAGGCCATCACAAGATCCCAGCTTGGCCATGGACCAACTCAGTGATCTTGGGCAAGTCAAACTTTCTCATCCTCTAAGGAAGGCAAAGGCAAACCCCCTCCAAACAAATCTTGGCAAGAAAACCTCATGATAAGTTCACCTTGGGCCACCATAAATGAGAAAATACTTGAAGACACACAAGAACAAGAAACCAGTAATTATCCAGTTCATTAAAGTAAATCCTTTGGACAAATTGACTACTTTTTAAATAAACTTTATTTTCAATTTCAATTTCAACCTGACATTTATGAAGCAGATTCTTTCACTGTCTGGTATCATGTGCACTGCCCTAGGAGTTTAAAATTAGTCAACAAAAGAAACATTCCCATTTTCCTAAAAAGCAGTAAAATTTTTATGAACCCAGGATTAGATGTAGGCAAATCCCAGGATTTCATGAAGTATTCTAAAATCCACCAACTAAAGCAAGGGACAAAAGGGTGTATAAATGGGGCACACTTATATATTAAAACTTTGTACTACATTTAATCAACTTTACATCAAAATGACCTTCATGTAGGGCTCTGTAAAAATTACTTTTTTCAGTTACAACTCACAGAATCCACCAATGGTATGAGATGATTGTAGTGGGGGGGGGGGGGGGGATCTATTTTTTAAAATCTCACTATTGGTGGTGCAGTGGCTTAAACCACTGAGCTGATGAACTTGTTGACCAAAAGATTGCAGGTTTGAATCTGGGGAGCGGCATGAGCTCCCTCTGTTAACCCCAGCTTCTGCCAGCCTAGAAGTTCGAAAACATGCAAATATGAGTAGATCAATAGGTTCCACTCTGGCGGGAAGGTAAAGGCACTCCATACAGTCATGGAGGTGTCTACGGATAATGCTGGCTCTTCAGCTTAGAAATGGAGATGAGCACCAATCCCCAGATCGGACACAACAGGACTTAATGTCAGGAAATCTTTACTTTTACCTATCTGAAGTTGGTAAAAGCAAGGAATTTGCTTTTTCCTTGCTTCTGCAGTGACACATCCAAAATGTTCTTTAAAAAAACCATTGGCAGAATATCCTCACATGCTGAAATGACGCAGGGAGAGACTAGATGGAGTTAGCTTGCACAAAGTGCTCAGGAAGCAAAGGAGCACTTCAAAGGAAACCCAGTTTCCTGAGTCTTAGCCCACAAGTTATCATCTGATCATTAGAAGACAGCAACCATTATCTCTCAACTGCTACTTTCTGAAAACATCGGTAGTGCTCAGCTGAAACATTTCCACAGAGAAATAGGGTGGTGAAGTGGAAAGTGAATTCAGTGTGGGTTTTAATCTTCTCTCAGACATGAAGCTCATAGTCCATAGCCTCCAATGCTGTACGCAAGGAAAGAGAAATATAGATCTGGCTTCCCTACAATGCTCCTAAGGATTCTGTCACTATTTCTCATTTCTGTTATTATATATTCCAAATGTCCTCCCAAAGATGTCAGAAATTTCATTCACCTGTGCTTTGCTCACTGCCCAAATGGGCTTCATTCCCAGTAAAGTAACTGTAGAGGTTATGATCATGGCAATAGTATCACAACTTTCAATAAGCTTTTATGCAAGCTACCATCAAGTCAATTTTGACCTATGGTGGCCCCATGAATAAGAGACCTCCAGGTCACCATATCATCAACAGCCCTGCTCAGGTCTTACAGACTCAGGGTTATGAGCCTATCCATGTGGAATGCAGCCTTTCTCTTTTCAAATTTCCTTATACCTTATTCCATGATTTCTTTTCTGATGAGTCATAGTCTAGTGAGTATGACCATTGTCTTGACTCCCAGGGATAGTTCAGACTTGGTTGGCACTAGTAAAGGTAAAGGTTTCCCTTTGACATTAAGTCAAGTCATGTCTGACCCTGGATGGTGGTGCTCATCTCCATTTCTAAGTCAAAGATCCAGCATGTCCATAGACACCTCCAAGGTAACATGACTGGCATGAAAGCGTGGATCGCTGTTGTCTTCCTGTAGGAATGGTACCTATTGATCTATTCAGATTTGCATGTTTTTGAACTGCTAGGTTGGCAGAAGCGGGGGCTAACAGCAGGAGCTCACACCGCTCCCCAGATTCAAACCACTGACATTTTGATCAGCAAGTTCAGCAGCTCAGCAGTTTAATCCGCTGTGCCACTGGGGACTCATTGATCACTGATTGGCACTAGGTCCCAACCACTACACCACTTGGCTCTCACATGAATGCCACATATAAATAAAATTTTGAATAGTTCAGTTATACCAATTGAAATAGAGCAACTTAAAACAGCCATGGATAATGAGACCCAAGCCATGGATAGGGAAACCTGAAGTGCGGATACCAAGTCCTGATAAGCAGTTACCGGTACTGGAGACAGGCCACCCTGTAGGTCCATGCACCTGGTGAGATGAAGAAGCCAATATTCCTAAATTAGAGATTATAACGTGCTTTAGGGGCCCTCCTTGGTGTTCTGCCAAAGTGAGAGATACACCATGTGAGAATGTGGAGAGGAAGTTCTTTCCTGTGACACTCCAGTTGTGGAAAGACCTACCAATAGAGGGTTCTTTGGCCACTGTTGGCTTGATTCCACCTCCAGGTGAAACCCCAATTTTTTAAAAGTAAACACTTGGGATCTAACTAATTTGTCTGAAATTATACCTACACAGATGGCTTCAACCTATTTATGAACTTGCTTACACTTGATAAATTATTTAATGTGTTTTTTAGGCCTGTTGTTCTTGCTTTCAGTTTTCAATTGTTTTAAAGGGCTGCTTAGATTGATTTTTACTCATATGCCTCCCAGAGATCTTGTGCAATATGGTGGGATATAACTATTTTAATAAACAATCAAATGAATAATTGGCTAAGAGAAATTTGGCTACCGTGATGAACCTCAATTTTGAAACTTCTGCTCTTAAGGAGGGCAAGAATGGATTACCTTAGCTGATGTCTCAAACCATCCCACAAAGCCATTCTCTTGGCAGAATTGCTCCATCTTGATGCCGTTGTTCACAAGCACTTCCTTGGTCTGGTCACATTTGTTTGCCAACAGAACTGTGGGCACAGGTTTGCCATTGGGGAGAGTCAGCTTAGTGTCCAAATCTTCTTTCCATTTGGTTACTGCCTCAAACGTTGCCGGCCTGGTTACGTCAAAAACAATAAATGCTCCCATGGCGTCTCGGTAATAGACCCGTGTCATGTTCCCAAACCTTTCTTGACCTGTTATTTAAAAAGAAAGATAATGATACCACACTTCTTAAAAGACAGATGTTCACAAACATACTGTTTCACAGTAATTTGTTAGGTCATGGTTAACCCAATGTAATCATTTTCTAACATACCTACCTGTTTACTTACTTATTTCATTTACGAATACAGCTTACAAAAGAAATCAACTAAATGCAATGCCAAAACCTGCAAAAATACCACCTTTAAGGAAATATGAAATTAATTTTAAATACATGTTTCAAAAAATAAAATACACAATTATGTAAGTAGGTCCTAGAGCAAATGAAGCCAAACTATTTCTAGACACCAAGATGACAAAACCAAGGCTGCCATGCTTTGGATATTTCATGAGAAGATGAGACTCAATAGAAAAGCCAATCATGTTTGGAAAGTTATAAGACAATCAGAAAAGAGAAAGACCACATTCCAGATGGATTGACTCAATCAAGGAAGTCCTGAGTTTGCAAGACCTGAGCAGGACAGTTGATGATAGAGAGACTTGGGAGGCCATCATGTTAAAGCTGGCTTGGTGGAAGTTAACAATAAACCATTAAGATGCTTCCCTGTTTACACATGAAAAGAAGGGAATCCCACAGGATAGGAGTAGCCATTGAAAAGGCTGTCCCACATGTCCCCAGCAAGTGACATTGTTATGGTGGCAGAAACAAGTGAAAGCTCTCCCCCATGAATCTGAAGCATCTGGTAGGTTTGTATTAGGAGACACATTCTTTCAGATATTCTGGATGGAAGCTGTGTAGAGCTTTATATATCTTGACCAGCACGTTAAATGGGCCCAGAAATGAACTGGTAGCTAGTGAAGTTGTTTTAACAAGCAACCTTAAGGGTTGATGAGTGGATGCCATTCTCCATTGGAATGGTGTAACTAATTAGGATTCTAGGGAATAAAGTCAGCTGTCCATATTTGGAGATTTCACTTTTGCGGATTCAATTATTCAACACCTTACACACATAGCTTAAAGGTAAGTTTACAGACAATATTTTGAATATTTTGTGCATATATCAACTGTCTGAAAGTAAAGGTGTCACAAACTCAGCCATCAATGTGGAGAATTTTTGAATTTTGGGTTTTTTGGATTTCAGATTTCCAGTTAAGGGTGCTCAATCTACATAAGGTGTGCAAGTACAGCTGTACCAGGAACTCCAACATTATTTGCTTTGTATTAAATGTTTGTTTGCAGTCCTAGGTTTTAGGGACTCTGGAGATAGGTGGCTTCCTTCGGTTGCAGTCATAGGGCAAGTCATCTGTCCATCATCGTTAAGTTTTGATCCCGCCCCTTTCTCAGGGCAATTGGGAAGGGAGCCATTTTTTAGTTAGTCTCAGCAAGGAAAGCTAATGTACAGGACGTGTGCAAGCTTCCCCTGTACAAAAGCTTCAACCCTTAAGACTTTCCGGGGGAGAACAGTCTTAAGAGCCTCCAAAGATTCTAAAGATTTCCAGGGAAACAGCCCTAAAGCTTTGAAGAATTTCAGAGGGTAACTGTTTGGAAGACCAAAGAACACCAGCTGGAGTATATCCAAGCCCTTACTGATAGGTCCACTCAGTGCTTCAAGACACAGTTCGACCCGGTAGCGGAGCCCACATCAGTAAGGGTTAGATTACAGTTAGCCTGGGAGAAGTTAAAAAGGGGGTTTTCCTTTAAAGTAAAGAAGTTATTGAAGACAGTTGCCTGTCCTTCGTGGGCAAGATTAGGAAGTCACCAGTTGCATAAAGCTGGAAGCATTTGTTTAGCTTTATTGAAGACAAGAGAAGTTTCTGTTTGATTGTTCATTAATAAAAGACTTTGTTATACTTCACAAGCCATCTAAAGATCATTTGTGGTGGAAAACCTCTGAGAACTTCTCCTTGGGCCCCCTGGCTTCCCGCTGGGCAAAGGTTGCACGTCCTGTTCTAAAGGAAATTCTTTACAGGCCCAGTGCGCAACAGAACATAAGGGATGCCATTATGCTACATCATTATTTGAGCATACACAGATTTTGACATATATGAGGGACTACTGTAGTTATGACGTAACCTTAGCTTCTGACATCACAAATACTAAACAAGATTGCAGACCCCTGTTTTCATCTCTCCTTGGTGTCTTTTCAAATAAGGACACAAGGACAGACTTATCTTGCCCTATTTTACAGGTGGTGGAAGGTGGAATGTTAAGGACCACAGACAACATTTGTAAGTACACAAAGAAAATAGACCAGGTTAGATCACCCAGGCAAATCATGCTGTAAACAGATATTTGCTCTACAACAAACAGTTGAAAAGACTATTTACTTGGAAAACCTCATCTTCAGATCAATTTTATTGGTTGATTTTTTTAAAAAAAAATCCATCAACACAGCTGTATGGCAAAACACTGCTAGATGCATTGAGATGTTGAGAAAATGAATTAACTGTTGTGGTGGAAACAGAATATTAACAGCTGATTCTAGACTGGGCTTGCAGTGAGATGTTGTTAACAAGCAACCTTCAGGGTTGATGAGTGGATGGCATCCTCCATTGGAATGATGTAACTAATCAGGATTCTAGGGAAATGGGGCTGAGCTATGTGTTCACAAAAGAATTCACTGAAAGCAAACCCAGATTTAGTATACATCCCAATGGCTTGTAAGCAAATTGATAAAATGATGCCTAAAAGGCACTAGTGTTATGGTGGTATCAAACATAGCTCAAACAACAGCACAATGTAATGATAAAAGAGAGAGAGGCCAATGTACTTCAAAGCTGCATCAACTGAACTATAGGGTACAGGGTCTCTTGCGCACAATGCAGCTTCAGTGCTCATTCTATTCAATTTGCTTTGACTTTATCCAACAGAATTACGGGGTATGATGATGATGATGATGATGATGATATCTTATTTATATCCCACCACCATCTCCTAATGAGGCTTGGGGCAGCTTACAAGCACATGATGGTGACATGCGACATATAAAATGCACTATAACAACATTAAAACCAATAACACATTTAAAACCCAAACATATAAAGTTGACAAGAGCAATAAAAGCAATAAAATATGGTAACAGTTGTTAATTAAAAGATCCATACAATCAATTTAGGCTTCCTTATATAAAGATAGTGGTCTGGACACAATCTTAAGCATTATCAAAGGTCTTAGTCTCATGGAGCACTAGAACTCTCTGGCTGAGAATGCTAAACACTGTGAATCTCAGGATCTCATAGAATGTTACCATGGCAGTGAAATCATAGCACTATAGTTGTGAAAGGGCCTCTATGGGGATGATGGTGGTGATGATGTATATTACCTGCATCTACATAGATACAAATAAACATTAAAAGACATAGAGTATATTCAAGATGAAATTCAAAATGAAGTTCAACAGTGACAAATGCAAGATACTCCACTTAGGCAGGAAAA